GATGCACATAGACCAGTGTCCATCCGAATAGTGCTAGTTCTTACTTTAATTCATTGTTTTCATAAGCTAGGCAAGGTGTCACATGCCCATAACCTCAACCAATGAAGAAGCTGAGGTAGGAGGATCACAAGTTCAAGGTCAACCTGGACAAAAAGCAAGACTCCATCTCAAAATAAAGGAAAAAGTGGGCTAGTGAGGAAGCTCGGTGTTTCAGCACCCCTCGCTTTTGTCCCCAGTACAAAAAAAAAAAAAAAAAAAAAAATTCTTTTCACATATCAGTGAAGATAGACAAGGAAAACAGAGTAAAAGAAAAGGAGCATGGGTGGCAAATGCGAAGTCCCCAGTTCAATCCCTGGTACTGCAAAAGAGAGAGAGAGAGAGAGAGAGAGAGAGAGAGAGAGAGAGAGAGAGTAAAGGAGCAGAGGATACCTCTAATTTATCTAGACATGACATCTCAGTGTTTAATCAATTTATTATATATAATTAATATGCAGTAAAACTCATACATTTTCAGTGGCAGGTTTGTCAACACAGATAGGCACTGGACCAAAGAATCTGGAGAGAGAACGTTGCTGTCGTGTCAGAAGCTGTCCTTCACTCTGGAGATTGAGGCAGGAGGATCACTTCGACTTGGAAGCCAGCCTGGGCTACAAAGTGAGCTCAAGGCCGCCTGAACTGCACAGTGAGATCCTGTCTCAAAAAAAACAAAAAGAAAAAGAAACAGGAGGAACAGGAGGAGGAGGAGGAGGAAGAGGAAGAGAAGGAGGAGGAGGAGGAGGAGGAAAAGGAGAAGAAGGAAGAAAGGAGGAGGGGGGGGAGAAGGAGGGGGAGGAGGAAGAGGAGGAGTCCTTGTGCTTCTGTGAGCCCTGGCCCAACCCAGGCCCATGGCAACTGCTCCTTTGCTGTCACTGGCCCTGTGCCTGCCAGGATTCCACACAGAATCCTCCCGGAGCAGTCTTCTGTTTCTGGCTTTTTTCACTTAACACCTCGCTCCTGAGATGTATTTGTGTGTGTCTGTAGTTTATTCACTTCCATCACCTTGCTACAGCATTCAGTGGGTAGGATTCAGTTTATCTAGTCATTTATCTTTATTTATTTATTTATTTATTTATTTATTTATTTATTTAGAGACAGGGTCTTACTCTGTAGTGTAAGCTGGCCTTGAACTCACTATGTAACCCAGCTGGCCTCGAACTCATGGCAGTCCTCCTGCCTCAGCCTCCTGAGTCTTGGAATTATAGGTGTATGCCACCACATCCAGCTAATTAAATTGACTATTTTATCATGTTAAACTATCTAACATTAACTTTGTCATTTTAGCCATTTTATTTCTTTTTATTATTACTTTTTAAAGACAGGGTCTCACTATATAGTTCAAGCTGTCCTCAGACACACTCCTAGTCTCCTGCCTCAGCCTCCTCCTAAATGCTGAGATTGCAGACATGCACCACCATGCCCAGCTACTAGTTTAGCCATTCGAAACTGTACAATTTTGTAGTATTTATTTATTTTGCATTGTTCTGCAACCATCACCAATATCTATTTCCAAAACTTTCTTTCACCCAAATAAACTCTGCAATCACCAGAGAAGTGCTCAGCACTCCTCCTCCTCTTCTCTACTGTCTGCCTCTATAAACGTGGGGGCTGTTCTGCATAGGTCCTATAGGAGTACACAGTACTGTCTCAGGGCCTGAGGTATTTTTACTTAACATGTTTGCTTTCTTAGGGTTTTCTTTTTTTTTTTTTTGGTGGAACCAGGGGTTGAACTCAGGCCCTTGAGCTTGCCAGGGAAGCACTTATTTCACTGAGTCATACCAATTTGTTTGTTTTTAGACAGGGTCTATATAACTCAGGCTGGACTCAAAACTCTCAATCCTCCTGCTTCAGCCTCACAAGTGCTGGGAACCCAGGTGTGCACCACCATGCCCAGCTCCCTTGCTCTATTTCAAGGAGGGTCTCACTATGTTGCCCAGATGGGTTTTGAATTCCTGGGCTCTACCAATCTTCCTGCCTCGGCCACCCAAGGATCTGGAGGACAGGCTGCTCTCATCAGCATTTCTGTTGTTTTAATTGTATTTCTTTATTTTTTGTTAATGGTGTTAAATATCTTTCTGCATTTAGTTATCGTCTGTTGATCTTTTGTGAGGTAAAATGACGTATCTGTTAAAATATTTTCTGCTTTAAATTCTATTCCTGGGGCTGGTGAGATGGCTCAGTGGTCTAAAGCACCTACTTAGAACA